GGCGCTACCATTTCGAGCAGGTGGGGTCTCCCCAACAGGACGCACTGCTGCAAACAGTCGCATTAAGCAGAGGTCCGGAGCCAGACCCCCCCCTTTCCCCCCTTTCCGCCATGTCGAAACGCCGAATAAGAAAACGCTCACTATTTCGAGCACCGACCGCAAGTATTCTTCATTTAGAACCAGAGTCGGTGTCGGTGTCGTCGCGGACATTGTCCATTTGAGACAGAAGGCCGCCTGGCCAACGGCGGCCGCTATCGGTTTTGGACAATTTCGTTGTTTGGCATCGTGCCCAGGTTTTTGTTCCGTGCATGTTCGGGCGTTCTCAGATATCATGACGTCGCAAGTGTTTCGAATTGGGCGGTTTCGATCCAGCTTGCAACATGCAGCAGGAAGCTAGGGTCCGGGGTGCTGGTAGTGATGTTGCACGATGTTGCAATTCTTCCGCATCGTCGGATCTCAAGGCGTGTCGAGACTACGGCGGCCTTCTGGCGTTCTGCGCGCCCCCATGGGCCTCCCATACAGTCAACCCGCATAGTAAGGATGGGCAACCTGCCCAAGGGTGCCCTGCTATTGTATCCTTGCCCCCTCCGTTTGTCCTTGGCCACTTTCGTTGGCCGCGCTCCGCTCGAAAAGCTTCGGAATGGGCGTCCAATGGCCCTGACGTCCTTATCGCGCACCCTTGTGATACGGGCCGGCTGTGGCGGAGGCTTCTCTCGGACCGCCGCGGCCGGATCCGCCACGGGCAACGGGCCAGGAGGGGCCCTATCGGAGGGGTCCAGGGGCCGAGCTTGGACCCCGGGGAGGGCTCCGATGGCGGCTCCTCCTGCCCGTCCCTCAAGAGTGCTCTGCGAGGTCTGCCCCCCGGGGAGCCCTTCGCGACGCCTCTCTCGGGTTCGGTCGGGCATGTCCTTCTACAGGAGGAGTATTCCAAAATAGGCCAAACATAGTCTGGGGACGATTGTTCGATTGTGTTTTGATTCTTGTTGCATGGTGTGGCCTGCGTTTGCGTGTTTCTGCTATGCTAAATCACTTCTGGCTACGGCACTGCTGGCAGTTGTTGTATTTATGTTTTGGATGATGTTTTGATTATTTGCTTTACTTCTGGCTATAGTACTTATGCTTCTGAGTATGTTTTGATTATTTGCTGATTATGTTGGAATATGTTTTGGTTCTATTTTCCTTCAGCATCTGCCCCTAGGCGGACATGCCCGACCTGCTTCTCGGGGCGCGGACCACGCCATTTGCGGCGAGGGGCCTCCAGGACTGAGAGGCTCAGGATCAAGCAGTGGCGAAGCGTCTTAGCTCGCCTATAGGCCTGCCTAATAATGTTATAAGAACCTCTTGTGGTCTCCACGAAATGTTCCTAGAACGTTTCTGGCAGGGACTGTCTTGTTTCAACGTATCGGGCTTATGTTCTAAGAATGTTGTTTCGGTTTTAACATTCTAGGATTCTAAGAGAATTTCGTGGAAGGCCTCTGGGAATGCCGGGACGGTCGGTTCCCGCTCAACAGGAGAGAGCGCGCAGCGCCGGGGAGGGCCGTGGCGGCTTATATCCGACGACGGGAAGTCTTTCACAGTTCTCGGCCGCCTGGGGTCCTTATGCCGGGCCTCGGGGCCGTCAAAGAACGGCTCGGGACGAACAACGGTCCCATGGGAACAGGTCGAGAATCGAGAAGCATCCTGCGGGGGGTCGACGTCACGCAGAGAGGCCACGACGTCGGCGGCCTGGGAGTGCTATAGGTCGCGCAGAATCACGGCCAGAGCCCCCGGGAAGTGCCCCGCCTCGACGTACGGCATCCCACCTCGGCTCCTCCCGCGGCGAGCCCAGCCGCGGCGGCCCTACAGATAATTAAGGCCTCCCGCGCGCGCCCCCCCGGAGAGGAGGGGCGAGGGCGGGCGCCGAGGGCCGACGACGGTGCGCGAGCTCTGCGGCAGCGCGGCACGCCACGACGGGAGCCCCGGGCCTCCGACGCACAGGAAACATCGAGGCGGAGGGTTTCTCTCGATGTTCGGCCCCTGGCGGCCCTCGCCGGGCCCCGGGACCGTCAACAAAACGACTCAGCCCTGACTCCGGATCCGCCCTACTTTGGCTTTTTTTCCAACTTAGAGTTGCGTCGGAAAGCCACCTATAAGGAGCCGAACAAGTAGGGCGGACATTGCTGCAGCCAACATAAAATAGAGCGGAAATCCACAGAAACAGCAACAGAAAAGTAGGGCGGAAATTGGCATCAGCGGGGCTTGAAAAGTAAGGCCGAAATTCCAAGCCCCACTTACGAATTTCCCCAAAGTAGGGCGGATCCGGAGTCAGGGAGGATGAAACGCCGGTCCTGGGGGATGGGTCGAGACTTCCAGGGACTCCGCATAGACAAAGATCACGACATCGGATCTCTGGAGCCCTGGCTCCCGGCTTTCTGCTGCTTGTCGGGCCGGCTCGGGCCGTGAGGGCTCCGGGGCCCCGGAAGAAGTCGTGCGCAGGCGCCCGGCCCGAAGAGCGTGTGCGACGGCCAGGATCTTTACCGGTTTGAAGCAGATCTTTGTCCCCGTGCCTGGCATCACCGTACCTCGACGACGACCTGCAGGAGTGTCGCAGGCTCGGAGAGCACATCCCCCAGATCGTCATCGCCTCGGGCCTGCCCATCTTGGAGAGATGGGGCTGCGTTCGAGATCGGTGAGATCTCTCTTCGGGGGGGCCCCCCTCCGACCCTCCACCTCGTGGTGCACGAGCGCACCTCGCTGGGAGACCGCGGCCTGGGCGGCGCGGCGACCGACGGCAGCGCGGGCGGCGACCCCACCAGCCGGTGGCTCAGAGATGGGGTCCTGAGGGATGGGGGGCCTCCGGCCCAGACCTCCTCGCGTGGTCAAACAGATTGCGACAGGAGGCTTTCTCTCATCTTCGGCCTCGGGCCTCCGGCGGGGGCCCTTCCCGGGCCTCGGGATCGTCAACAAAACGACTCAGCATGAAAGACCGGTCCCCGGGAAGGGGTCGAGACTTTTGGGGGTCGACGCTGTGAACACATGGCGAGGTGCCTCAAACAGCGTGAGTCCATCCTCCCTGCAGGATGGGAAGGGAGGGTGGATTCACGCTGTTTGAGGCACCTCGTCCCCCAGACCCCCGACGTCGTGATGTTTTCACAGCGTCGACCCCCAGAGGTCTCAACCCCTTCCCGTTGACGGTCCCGAGGCCCGGGAAGGGCCCCCGGAGGAGGCCGAAAAGATGGAAGGACCTCCCGTCGCATCTCTTCTTCACCACGCGAGGAGGCCTGCAGGCCGGAGGCCCCGCCCCCCCCCCCCAACCCCTCAGGAACCCATCGCTGCACCACCGGACCCGCTCGTTCGGCGGCGGGCCCGCGCGGGCGTGGGAGGTCTTCGGCGATCCCGGCGTCTGCCCTCGAGGCCTGCCCGCGCGGAACCTCGCGGGCGTGGCGGCCTTCCTGCGCTCGGGGAGGTGCCGCTCCGTGGTGGTCCTGTCCGGCGCGGGCATCTCCACGGCCAGGGAGGGCCCCGGAGCCCGGGCAAAGGAAGCAGCAGCATCAACAGCAATAACAACAGCAACAACAGCGCCAACAACACCACCACCCACCACCAACCACAACACGCACAACCACACGAACAACAACAGACAGATCCAGAAAATATGGATGCAGTTCTTTGATTGTTTTCGGCATCTCGGGGCCCTTGCCGGGCCTCGGGGCTGTCAACAAACGACTCGGGGTGAGGAATTGGTTCCAGAAAAGTCGTCGAGCGATCGAGGGGACGTGTCTCGAACAACATGGAGAGGACAGGGGTCAATCGTTCCAGAGCGGTCCAGGACTCAGAGCGTTCCAGGCCGCCCAGAAATGGCCCCAGTGCCCGATGATCCCATCCCCCAGAGCCGCCAGATCTCCACGACCCCCGATTTGGTTTGGTACGATTTGGTCCCTGTCTTGGACTCGTCTTACGGGGCCCAGGACATCTTGCAAGACGGGTGTTTGCTTGCAAGCTCCAGCGTAATTCACAAAAGCCGCGGATCGTGCAGAATGTCTCGACCGACGGCTGCAGGTTGTCCGGGGTGTGCCTGCATGCAGGGCGCGAGCTACCCGGAGTTCGGACGACTTTGTGGCACGTGTTCGCGTTGGTGTCGTTTGGCAGGCACCACCCAAACAGATTCATACAGCCAGGATGCTGAAATAAGGATCAGTTTGGATTCGGAAGGGGCTTGATGTTCCTTACGTCCTTCCGTGGTTGTTTCTCTAGCCCTTCTCGTGCACCCAGGCTTCTCTGAAGCCACAGGGGGGCCTCGTTCCTTAGTCAGCGTTCCTTGCTTCAGCAGCCCGACTGTACCCTTCTCATGCCCGTAGGTGCGCGTCGGCCGCACACGGGCGGCGCGCGCGCACGCTCGGGGAAGTCTGGTGCTGCAGCAGCCGTGGCGGGCGTGTTCTGGCCAAGCACGGGGTCGGGACGTCGCATACCACAAGGTGTTGTGCCAGGTGCCCCACGAGTTGTACAGCAGGAACAGCTGAGCGAAAGTTAGAACCTGGAGGAACGTGAGCATGGAGAGGAGGTGGAAGGACACATAGCCACAGGAGAACATCTGGACAGAGTCGCTCGAAGATTCTAGGCCTGGTTCAAAACCTCGCGGCACTCAACCGTTCTGGGCCCACATCACCGAGCTCTGTACCGACCGTCCGTCGCCGTCGTCCAGGGAGAGTGGCGGCGCGGACACGATGCCAGGTGCTCTGGTTGCTCGTGCGTCTCCAAGAAGAGGCACAGATAACCCTCGTCAAAATGAACCTCGAGCATGTCTTGCGTGGCTGAGCTGTTTGTGGGGAGATCCTGGACAGGGTAGCGGTGACTGCGAGGTATTTGTATGCGCCGCCCCTCCAATGTCGGTTATCATCGATCTTCCGTTCATGGTCAGACCACTTTTGCCCTGGCCCCGACATTGGAGGGGCGTCTATCGACATTGAAGGGCGCGCCGACATCGCAGGGGCGTGGTCGCCTTTTTTGAGGTTAATTTTGACGAGGGTAGTCGTATCAGAGTATCAGTACGTCCTCCTGCGTCCCGGCCGAGGCTGAACGCAGACAGAACGAGGAGAAACGAGGCCGAGACGAGAACGGAAAGCACCGTTCAGCTCTATCCTTGCCAGCATGTCCTGGCTCATCAGTAGTCCCCTCTCTTCGGGGCCCTGCTCCAGCGGCATCCCTAGCTACCGCGGCGCGGCCGGCCTCTGGACCAGACTGCGCCCCGAGATGCTGTCGGCGACGCCCGCACAACGGGCGCGCATCGCCAGGGACCCCGAGTGGGTCGCCAGCGCCGAGCTGTTCCGGGAGAACCCGGTCCCGTTCTTCGAGGTCAAGCGGGAGTTCGTCCTCGGGCTGGCGAGGCGCAGGTGTCGGCGGGGGTCGGCATGGGCACGGGAAGAGTGGCACGGCGGAGGCCGACAACTGTTCCTGCCCATGTGGAACATCGGGGGAGAGACAGCTGCTGTCGCAGCTCCGCGCGCAGTTTTCGGATCGGCGCCGGCCCCCCCGACGGCGCCTCCGACGTCGCCCCTCGGATGCCCAGCACCGATCCAAAGCACTGCGCGCGGAGCTCCGCACGGTTCTGTCTACGCCGCTTCGTGTCCCTCTAGAGCAGAGCTCGCTCTCGGCGTCGCCGCGGACGCTGTCCATGGAGACAGGACGTCGCTTGCGCAGCAGCGGCCGCCGTCGGTTTGGGACAGCCTTTGCGGTTGGGCATCGTGCCCGTGTGCTCCGCACCCGGGTCGGGCGCGCCAGAGGTGGCTGCCCACCGCGGCTCACCACGTGGTGGCGCTGCTCCACCGCCACGGGCTCCTGTCGCACGTGTTGACGCAGAACATTGACGGGCTGCACCAAGAGTCTGGCGTCCCCTCCGATCTGGTCAAGCGGCACAAAAAACGTATCTATAAGACCGGCCAACGGCCTATAAAGAGTCCTTGGGGGGACTAGAACCAACGACGGGACAACCATCGGGACAACCGTATCCCATCCCTCCATCGAACGACCTCTGCCGGTCTATTTACCTGTCAAATACACCATCTCTACATTCATAGATCGATTGCGCGGTGCATACACACATACACACATACCGGCCGACCGACCTACCTGCCCCCGTACTTACCTACGTACGTACGTACACACGTGCATGCGTACATGAAGACATGCATACATACATGCATGCATGCATGCGTCATGCATAGATGTATACATACATACTTACACACATACATACATACATATACACAGGCAGACAGACAGACAGACAGACAGACAGACATCCATACATACATACAGACACATATCTACACACGATACTTATCTGCTCGTTTCGTTTCGCCTTGAATTTCTGTGCCGCATGGCTCCAGAAAGCGCGCCGCGAGCCTTGGTGCTCTCTGCGCTGCGATCTCTTGGTGCATGTGCCAGACCCGTCGTTGCGCTTGAATTGGCTGCTCCCGTGTTCATGTTCTCTGGTTTGGGGCTCGTAGTGCCCACGAGGTTTTCAATTTGCGGAGGGCTCCTCACGTGGGTCGTCGGGCTCGTAGGTCATTGCGGGAGGTCGTGCGGCTCATGGAGTTCATAAGGTTTTGGGCGCATATGGCTCATAGGGCTTACATGATGTTGGGCGCACCTGGCTCATAGGGCTCATGGAATTCATACGGCACATCGTGGCTCATAGTGCTCATGGTGCGTTGGGCGCATGTGGCTCCTAGGACTCATACGACTCATGGGGCTCACTGGCTTTTGGGCGCATATAGCCCATATGGTTCACCAGGTTCATTTTGGGGGTTCGCCATATTATATATATATATATATGCATACATGACATATGTACAGGTCCCCCCAAACAGCGCTTGCACTCAGGAGTTCTCACTTGCTTGTCTAAGGTAACTGAGCCTGTGTGGCGGTCTGGCGGCTATGGTGTCGCCCTCGCCGCCCCGTCGCCGCCTTGTCGCCGCCTGTCGTCTGGGCCTCTTTTGGGCCTTAGGGGCCTGTTGGGGTTTACTGGGCCTCTCTTGGGCCGCTTAGGAGCTTCTTGGGGCCTGTGGGGAGCCTCCTGGGGGGAAAGGGACAGATCGGATGTTCGATTCGCGTTCTCCCTCTGTGCCTCTCTTGGGGCCCTCTTGGGGCGATCTTTGGCCCTTTTGGGCCCCTCTTCGGACCGTTTTGGAACCCTCTTTGGCCGCCCTGGGGCCCTCGTATGGGCCCTCCTGTGCCGTCTTGGAGCGCCGGAAGCTCGAGTAGACGATAACCCCACAAACAATGATAAACCATAGGGCAACCATTTGATTTTGGCCTCTCGGGGCGGGCGGCCTCTTGGGGCCTGTTGGGGCAGGCGGTTTAGATGTTTGTTCCCTCTCTTGGGCCTGGGGCCGTCTTGGGGCCCTCTTGCGTCGTCTTGGGCGCAAGTAAGTGTACAGTTTGGCATTGCCAGGATCAAACAAAAGCCGTCTTAGGGGCGCTCTCAGACAATCTTGGGGCCCTCTTGGAGGCCTCTCGGGCTGTCTTGGGGGCTTCTTGGAGGCCTCTTGGGCCGACTCCTAGCGTCGGAAGACAGAAAAGGCGAGAACGCCACAATTTTTGGGGGAATCATCGGTTTGTGCCTCTCGGGGCCCTCTTGGGAAGGCTCTTGGGGCGTCTCGAGGGCGTCTTGGGGCGTCTTGGAGTCACCGTGAGCGTCTTGGCCGAATCATTCAGCGATTCGGGACCGACTTGGAACGTCTTTGTGCTGTTTCGGGGTCCTCTTGGGCAGTCTTGGGTATCTCTTGGGTCGGGTGGTGTCGGAAAACAGAAAATCATCGATGTGTGCCTCTCGGGGCCCTCCTGGGAAAGCTCTGGGGGCGTCTCGAAGGCGTCTTGGGGCCATCGTAGACGTCTTGGGCCAACCGTTCAGCGAGTCGGGACCGTCTTCGGACGTCGTTAAGGCCGCGGAAGGCAGCTTTGAAAAGTTCCAGAGTCTCCAGGGGTGCGCCGGCGAGCCCAGATACCCCCCTCTTCAATCGAGATGCTGGACCATGGGGGGGAGGGGGGAAAGAGGCCTCGGAACAGAACATAGCGAGCACGCATGCCACATTCATCGGCCAACGACTCCCCCTCCCCCCAATGCTCAAACTTGGCGGTGGGTCTGACGAGTTGCACTTCGACCGCAGTCTCCCCCGCGCGTGTCAACTTTGAGTTTGGGGGAGCGGGGGAGTGTCCACTAGTTTTATGATGTTCCAGCCTACCTTAGCCTTGACCACCAGAGAGAATTTCGAGCACCAAGAACACATAGAAATTTGGAGGTTTGCGCGCGTCGGGCCCTGGGAGGCGTTTTTTCCTTCGGCATTGCTCGGATACTTTTCTGGGTGCTCGGAATTATTTCTGGGATGTGGTCCGTAAGTACGATGTCGCAGGCCTAGAGGTTGACACCAACACCAACACCAACACCGAGGGAAGAAGATCCCGATCTCGGTGATGGTGGTAATATTCTGGCTTCCAAGGTGGCCGAACTATTACCACCAACACCGAAATCTAGGATCACCTCCCCCCTGTGGAGGCAGCCCTCTGTCTTGGTGCTGGTGCCCCTTTCCAGGCCTCCCACGATGGGAAAAGCATAGCACTGGTTGCTTCCCCGATGCCGAAGGGGGACGGCCGATCATCTCACACGGCGTCTCGCCCTCAGAAGGCGGGGGTCGGCGGATCTGCTTGACACGCATGGCTTGGGGCCCACGCTGGCTAACATATGATTCATACAACTACATACATCGAGAGAGATCTATAACACAAAGACAAGACACACACTGTAAGTATACATTACTATCCATCAATCGATATATCTATATATACACATATATGTGTTTAAATCGATAACACGACCCATCGATCGGTATCGTTTTCAAGGTATGCATCGGTCCATCTATCTATCAGCCTCGCTACCTGTCTGCCGATCTCACCTGCACTCAATCAACTTACCGTCGGGGAAACCATCGGGGCAACCGTCGGACAACCATCGGGACAGCCGTCGGGACAGCTGTCGGGACAACCATCGGGACAACAATCGGGACGACCACGGGAGAATCACAGGACATCCGCGGGACAACCGCGAGACATCCGCGAGACAACCGCGGCGCCGGCCGAAAGGGGAAGGGCGATTGCTTCGACCTCGTCCTAGCAATGGCAGGATCAGTCCTCTCGCCGGCGCACGCAACTCCGCCTCGCCCGCACGCACGACACGAACACGAAACCGAAACCGATTTCCCGTACTTCGATCTCACCCCCCATCCTCCGATACACAGACATCCTCCAGTGTATTGCTCCTGGGCTCCATGGGGGGGTATAGCACGAACGGCAAGCATATCTACGCTCTCTTGGTCTGGATTTCGGGGCGCGATCCCACTGACACGCGGTCGCATGGATTCGTTCCGCGCGGGGCATCCGCGAAAAACAGTCCTCAGCATCCAAGGAGCCATGACCAAGGGGCCCAGCCCGTGAGGCCGTGGCTATGGATATTTGTTCCTCCCATGGTTGTTACGTGTTCACTAGAGAGCCAAAGACTTTGCTTACGGCCACCCTCTCTGAAGGCACAGGAGTAGCTTGCTGGCGGGTGTAAAGTCTGCTCATGTTTTGAACTCTCTCTCTTTAGATGGGGATCCTCGTTTTGAATGAAGCACTGCTTGCGCGGAACGTTCTGCTTCCCCTCCTCCCGCTCCTTCCGCCTCTTCCCCTCGGCTTTCCTGCCTGTTCCCGCGCTCCCCCGGGGGTCTGCCAAGTGAGACCTCGCTGGGCCCCGGGAGCTGCCAGCTTCTTACATCCGTCGAGGGAGGGAGGGAGGGAGGGAGGGGAGGGAGGGAGGGAGGGAGGGAGGGAGGGAGGGAGGGGTTTGCAGCAGTCTTGGATTGACGACGAAACGCGGGAAAACGAAACACACAGTTTGGGTCGATTCCTGGGCTCCAGGGGGGTTCACGGGAACGCGTCCTACACGCACTCAGACGGTATCTCGCTGCTCCCTGGGGCCTGCCAAGTGCGCAGTTGTCGCCACTGCAGTGGCCTCCTGCGAGGTCGGGCGGAGCGCGGTCCTACGCGGAGCCATACGAGATCTCGTTGCTCCGCGCCTCCAGAAGTGACCTCGCTGCTCCTTTGGTGTCGGCGCTTCGATGATGTTTGTTCGGTCCGGCGCAACTTTCGCTGGCTCACGGGGTTCCCAGCGGAGTGCGGTCCTACGCGCGTTTCGACAAGACTTCGTTGCTCCCTTGGGGTTGCCAACTGATTGACTGTCGCCACCCTTCGTCCGCTCCTGAGAGTTCCAGCGGATGGCGATGCTCCGCGCATTCAGACGGGACCTCGTTGCTCCCTGGGGGCAGCCCGCTGCCAGCTGCGCAAGCGTCGCCACTCTCGCAGGTTCCTGGGGATTGCAGCTGCCGCGCCAGGCTACATGCGTCCAGACGAGACCACGCTGCGCCCAGGCACCTGCCTGCTGGGCAATCCTCACACGCACTCGCTGCCAAGCGACTGCGCAATGGTCGCTACCTTCGTGGGGTCCTGGGAGGAAGAGCGGAGCACGGTCCTTCGCAGACCCAGGCGGGACCTTGCTGCCCCTTTGGGAGGGCTGCCACCTGCGCACTTGTCGTCATGTTCGTGAACTCCTGGGATATTACTCCAGCGGGGCGTGGTCATACATACGCACACCTGCACGGGACACCGCGGCTCCCTGCGGGCTGCCACCTGCGCGATTGCCGCCACCTTCGATGATTTTGGGGAGGTCCAGCGGAGCGAGGTCAGACACGTACACCCAGAGTACCTCGTTGCTCCTTGGGGGCTGCCAACTTGCACAACCGTCGCCATATTGCTGGGCTTCTGAGCGATCCAGCGGAGCGCTGTCCGACGCACACCCAGACGAGACCTCGTTATTCCCTGGGCGCTGCCAGTTGCGCAGTTGTCGCCACTCCCGGTGGCTCCCGGGAAGTCCAGCGGAGCGATGCCACACGTGCATCCAGAGAGAGTCTCGCGATCCTTGGGTGCCGCCGATCGCGCAATTGTCGCTACTTTCGCGAGCTCATGGGAGGTCCTCCGGGGCGCGCACCACGCGTGTCCGTAATCCATAAGTGCTTTCGTTGCTCCCTCGGTGCCTGTTCTGCAACGAGGCTCTGTTAGGTCCGGCGGAGTGCAGCCCACTGCAGCCCAACGCGCATCCAGATAGGACCTGGCGCTCCCCGGGTGCTGCCAACTGCGCTCTGTCGCCACTCTCGCGGGCTCCTGGGAGGCCCAGCGGCTCGACGCGCCATGCGCATCCAGACGAGACCCCAACCCAACCCAACCCGAAGACCCGAATTTGATCCGAATTTCGGGTCGGGGGGGTACGAGTTCCACGTGCTCTTTCGGTGTTACCCGACCCCCCCCCCACTGGAAATGGAGCAAATCGTGGCCTTCGGGTTGGGTTGGGGCGGTTTGGTGGGCGGCCACCTTCGTGACCTTCGTGAGCTCTTGGGAGGTCCAGCAGAACGGGACCAGACTAGACCTCGCTGCTCCCTGGGCACCGCCAGCTGTGCAAGCGGTTGCCACTGACGTGCGCTCCCGAGGGGTCGTTGCACTCCGCCGGCGCGCCATACATGCAGGCCACATGGGCGTACAAGGCACAGGCCTCCCCCCGTGCAGCATCCCAGAGACGCCGCACCCCGTGGCGAAGCTTCCCTGCTGCTGGGGCCGCTCGTTGCAGATGGGTTCCCAGACGTGCGATGCCTCACGGAGTCCCGGGAAGTTCCGACCCTTTCCCCCGAGCCGTTTTGTTGACGGTCCCGGGGCCCGGTGAGGGTCCCGGTGGCCGATGGCCAAAGTCATGCTGTCGTGATTTTTGTGCGACGCGAGCCTGTCTGGGTATGGTAGGTTCGTACCGTGTCGACGCGACGGCGACCCTGGCCCGGGTGTTCAAGGTTGCACGCCGCCAGTGGCCCAGAATTGGCCAATATGGAATGATTTGGCGATCAACAAGTCTCCGATCGTTAGAGGTTGTACGATCCACGCGGTGGCAGTAACCAATTTTGGGGTCGTCACGACACGAATCCAGATCCCCGACGCCATCATTTTGCTCAGAACGTCGACCCTCAGATGTCTCGACCGAGTTCTCGGGACTGGTTTTCCATCCTGAGTTGCTTTTTGACGGTCCCGAGGCCTGGTAAGGGCCCCAGAGGCCGAAAGTCTAGAGAAATTGTCTGTCGTGGTGTTACTCATGACTCCAGAGACCCTGGGAGCCTGCCGTACGTCCCTGGGGATTTTCTTTCTGCATGGTGGCGCAGGTCACCCACATGGGGTCGGAGCAGATGGGGTCGGAGAGTCGCGCCGCATCGCCGATGCATCGTCGAAGCGGCTCGATGCGGAGCCCGATCTTCTCCACGCGCGGACGCCGCCGCTGCACCGCCGACGTCGCCGATGCGTAGACGATGAATCGCCGGTGCATCGTCGATGCGGCGAGATCCTCCGACCCCATGTACTCCGGGATGAGGAGGAGGAGGGAGGAGGGAGGAGGAGGAGGCAGAGGAGGAGGAGGAGGAGGAGGAGGAGGAGGAGGAGGTGGAGGAGGAGGAGGAGGAGACCCCATCTGGGAGGCCTCCACTGGTGGCGCAGGTCACCGAGGTCCACGGCACCACGCGCTCGGCGCGCTGCGACGGCTGCGGCCGGCGGCTCGCCCTGGAGGAGTACGCCGCGCTGGCGGAGGCGCACGTCCGGGACCTGGGCGGCGCGGACCCGGGGGCGCCAGCGCGGTCTTCGGACGGCGGGCCGGGGCTCACACGCAACCATGGAGTCGTGAGAGAAGTCGCGACGGGAATCTGTTCGCCGCTGTCAGCCTCTGGGGGCCTCTGCGGGGCCCTGGGGACCGTCAAGAACGACGCGGGGGTGAAGAGCTGGTGCCGTGGAATGGGTCGAGGGCCTGTGGAGGTTGACGCTCTGAGAAAGTCACGACGTCGGGGGTCTGGGAACGGGCTCAGCGCTAACGGGGGTCGGCCAGAGCGCCAGCTCCCCCAGGATCTTGCAAAGTTGGAGGTTGGCTGGGCCGGGGCTGGGAGCCGCTTGCAGCCCTGGAGGTGGCCTTACAGGTTGGTTGAGCCGAGTTTGGGACCCTCGGCGTCACCCCAACACACTTGTATTATACGTGCGTCGCCCCTCAGGGGCGACGTGCGCACCAAGAAGTCCTAGCTATAATATGTGCGTCGTGGCAGGCGCTTTCTGGCCACACCGCTCGGGAAACGACATACTACAAGATGGGCATGGTACATGTTCGGGTCGGACGCGCGCCTCCAATGAGGGGATCTAGTACTAGTATGTCTCGGAGGTGAACAGAAAAACCAACGCTGACACGTCGATCAGTGAATTGTCCGTTTTCGTTTCTCGAGGGGGCGCCGCAGCCGTCATTTTCCCGGCTTGCGCCCGCCAGGTTTGGGCCCGAGGTCATTTTCACTGAACCACGTTCTACCAAAGGGGGTTCTGTTCATCCCCGAATGTCTGTGTGCCTCCCATACCCGCCCCCATCAACAACCTGCGGCGCTTTTGTTCCAAATTTGGCTGAGCCGGGTTTGCGCTGAGCTTGGTCAGTGTGCGCCCGAGGCGGGCTTCCGTGCCCGGGGTGCGCCCGCACCAGCGTGCGGCCCGACACGGTGCTGTTCGGGGAGGAGGTCAACCCGGCCTTCAGGGAAGTTCTCCGGGAGGAAATCGAAAAAACAGAAGCGGCATGATAGGTAGTGAACGTTGCGTTACGACATTGGGCGGAGGGGGGGGAGGGGGAGGGTCTTGCTCTGGACCTCTGCTGAGTGCGACTGTTTGCAACAGTGCCTTCTATGGATGGCGGAGACTCCACCTGCGTAAAACAGGCGCCCCAAAGAAGCCAAGATCTACTCCATGGGGGGGGGGCAGGGGGTTGCGAGGGCCCGCGCCTATCGGCAAAACGATGAATAAGAAAACGATCACACATGGTTTCTCGGAGGTTTGCGCGGATTTCTTGGATCGGCGTCGAGACCCCCTGACGGCGCCTTTGGCGCCGCCCCGGCGCGCAAGAGATTTTCGCGGACTTCCGAGAAAATGTGTTTATACAATTTTTGCATTATCTAGAATCAGCACTTGGGCGACGTAAGAAAATGGACCCAACTGCGCGGACCTTGGCGCGTAAGGTTCCCACGTAAGGTCGCTCCGCGCGCGAGTGCCCTCTTCTCCAAGTGGTGTGTCACGCTGGGGAGTCCCCCGACATGGACGAAAACTGAGGTCAATAAACGGCAGCCGCACCAAACGGACGGGCATGAAAACAACAAATACTTGCTTCTGTCGAGCCTGTTTCAGCCAAGCCAATTTTAGTTAAGCCAGGGCGTGAGGTCGCTATGCCATCGTGCGTAAGACCCGCTTCTCTTCGCCGCCCGTTTGACACGAAGCGTTCGGATGCCCGCGCGGCTTTCTTGCACCGACACCCAGCCCCCGGCGCGCCAGGGGGTTCGCAAGAGGCGGCGCCGCCTGGGGGGTCCAGCGTCAAGTCGGGCCTGTCCCTCTACAGGACGAAATTCAAAAATAGTCACAAAATAGTATTGGGACGTTTTTTGGGGTTTTATTCATTTGTTAGATGTTTTTTTTTTTTTTTGTTTTTGTAATTTTTTGATATTGCATCAAAAACCAGCCTGTAGGAGGACGTGCCCGACCGAAGTCCAGCGCCGATCCAAGAGATACGCGCGGACCTCCGCAAATTTATGTCCATGCAGTCTTGTCGTCTTTCTCTTCTGGAGGTGTTCCGCAGGGACCTGCCGGCGGCAGACTTGCTGGTGGTGGTGGGCACCACGCTGCTGGTGGCCCCCGTCGCCACGGCGCCCATGGAGGTGTCCCCGGAGTGTGTGCGGCTGGTCGTCAACGACCGGCGGGTGGGCGAGAACGTGGGCCTGGTGTTCGACGAGCCAGACTGTCGGCGCGACATCATGGTTGAGGATCCAGGGGCCATTGAGAGAACGCTCACCCAGAGAAGTCGATTGAGGAAATCTGCACCGGTTCACTCGGCATCGGCATTGGAGTGTATCGGTGCAGTCCCCCATCGGTTTCGCTAATCGACGTGTTTCTCGCCCGATGCATTCGCTTGTGTTGGAGCGTCGATTAGCTACCCCGCTGGGGTCTACTCGGAGTTCGCTTCCATACGATTGTGGAGTGCCCCTGGCTGCTTTCACTCAATGGCGTTTTGCTAAGTGGGGTTCTGTCCACCCCCGATGGTGGAGGATCCAGGGGGTTCGAGTGAGAGGTGGTGGTCCAGGAAGAGCTGGCGGCTTGGCAAACGGAGGTGGCCTGATGGGGGTGACCTTGTGAGAGGGGTGAGTGAGGGGGCTTCTGAGAAGGCATGTGGTTGGCAGGTGGCCTCTGCAAAGCCCGCCTGGCCTCCAAGAAGACTTCTCAGGACCCCCGACGTCGTGATTTTTTCATAACGTCGACCCCCAGAAATCTGAACCCCTTCCCGGGGACCCATTTTCATCCCGAGTCGTTTTTGACAGTCCCGAGGCTTGGGAAGGGCCCCCGGAGGTCGAAAATAGCGAAAAACCTCCCGTCGTGACTTTTTCACAACGCGAGGAGGTGGTCCAGGTTTCTCGGGAGCCCCCCAGGCGTTCCTCGGGAGCCCCCCAGGCCCTTCCAGAAGGCCCCTGGCCTTCCGAAGAGGACCCCTCCCCCGCCTTCTCCAGAGGCCCCCCCTTCCAGCCACCCCCTCGCGCCACCTCTCGGCGGTTATCATCGCCCCCGTTCACGGGGCCCGGACGAGGTCCACGGCCTCCTTTGGCCAACTTTGGCGAGCCTTGGTGGGGGATGCGCGTGCGCGCAGGCAGCCTCCAGGGGAAGCCCCGCAGTCCGGAGCCGTATCACCCCCCCCAACGTCGTCGTCGCCGTCGCCGTCGCCGTCGCCGTCGCCGTCGCCGTCGCCGTCGTCGTCGTCGTCGTCGTCGTCGTCGTCGTCGTCGTCGTCGTCGTCGTCGTCGTTGCCGTCGCCGTCGCCGTCGCCGTCGCCGTCGCCGTCGCCGTCGCCGTCGCCGTCGCCGTCGCCGCCGCCATCGCCATCGCCATCGCCGTCGCCGTCGCCGGCGCCACCACCGCGCCTCCTCAGGCCAGCTGGAGCTGCTTACCTCTGGGGGCCGTCTGCACGCAGCCCCGAAGGTCTGCAGGCGCCCTCCCCTCCTCTGGCACCCTTGCGGCCGAAGACCCCGAACAGCTTTCCACAGGACCCCACCAGTCCACATTCTGGCCCAGGCCCGGGCGAATTCTGAAGCTAGAGCGAAGGCCAAACTTCATAGCCAGACTGACACCGTCACCTACGTGCTCCTCCGCGTGGGCTCCAGGCAGGAAGCTGCGGAACTGGGGATGTGCAAGCTGTGTGGCGCAGCCGTGTGGTCTGAGCCATGTGTCTTGGCATCGCTCGGACGTGTGCACTTTTCCTTCGCCGAGGACCATCGAGGAGCATCCTTGATCATTTGGCGAAAAACCACGCACGAAACCGAAAAAAGCCCAGGGAATGGACGTCCGAGCGATGGCCAGTCTGCTGCCAGCTGCGTGGTGCAAGCTCCGTGGTGCAAAGCTGCGTGGCGCACAGCCACGGGGCGCCCGCGGGGGGCGCCCGCGAGCGAGCACCGGGCGACGCCTCGGCATATGACTGCCCCGCTCCCGGACCGGGGCGCCCACGGGCGGGTCACCGGGCGGCACCTCAGCATACGTCCACCGGCGCGGAGCGCCTGCCAGCCGGAAGCGGAAGCAAGCGAAGTGACAATTTGTGTGTTTTGAGCTATCTATACATAAAGTCGGGGCGCTGAAGAAGGAACCTTTTTCGTTGGGGAGGGGCTCGGTGTTCCTTGATGGTTTTACTGTTTGCCTGAGGTGTTCCTGAGGTTTCCCACGGGAAATCGAAGTTCAACTTCAGGGAAAAGGGGCCTCGTTCCTTATTTAGGGTTCCTTAGTTCAATACCCCGACGGTCTATATATATATATATAATATATATGTGTATAATCTTTATGTATGTATGTATCCATACATGTATATAATCTGGTATAAATATATAGATGCAGGCACCTGTCGGGGAACGCATACGGATGTGACTGCGGGGGGCCACGGATGGCAGCGGGAGGCTGCGGCGCCCCGCCGATGCCGGATCGGGCCAGGCACTCGAGGCCACGGGAGGCCGCGGGAGGCCACGTGGCCCAATCCGATGTTGGGTCCGCCATCGCAAGAGACAGGGAGAGAGAGAGAGAGAGAAAAAACAAAAAAACAGACACCTATATTGAATATATATATATATGTGTATAGGACAGTTACAAACAAGTTGCTTAGGGATCAGCATCGTTAGACATCGCGACTCCTTTTTCATAAACACAAGTTTTGAAAGAAATCGCGACCCCCCTCTTTTCGTGGGGCCCCCGGTTCCGAAAGTCTGGGCGAAGGCGCCCAGTGCGAGCAAAAGTGCGACGCGATGTTTTCTTTCTTGCCTTGAAGGAGCGGAGTCCTAGGGAAAGCGGGTCCTCAAGGTTTCTCGTTGTTTTCGGGCTCCAGGTGCCCTTCGCGGGAACATGGACCGTCAAAGCCCAGGGGGAAGCCTCGGGGTCCAGGACCCGCTTCCCTCAGGACATGTTTTCCATGTTGTTCCAGCCAGCTCACGTTGCGTCTTCGGGGGACCTCGCTTGTCCCTTACAATTGGTGTCTTTTCGTGTGCCCGACGCGGGCCCGATGCGGACGCGACGCGGATTCGGCGTGGATTCGACGCGGATTCGACGCGGATTCGACAAGGATCCGACGAGTCCGACATGGATTCGACACGGATTCGACGCAGATAGGGCCGCGACGGGAAGACGAGGTCCCCCCGACGAGGATACAACAGAAAGCCAGCGCCGCCACCTCGAGGGTCGCGAGCGACAGACGCATCCAGAGATCCATGCCCGTTATAGGCGTGGATGCCAGGGCGCGAGCCGTGGATGCGCGGTCGCACGGGTACGTTCCGCGCGTGGCATCCACGACAAAACGCCTCGTACAGTCGGGGCGCTGAAGAAGGAACCCTTTTCGTTGGGGAGGGGCTCACTGTTCCTTGTTTGTTTCAAAGTTTACCTCGGGTTTTCCTGAGGTCTTCCATGGGAAATCGAGGTTGAACTTATAGGAAAAAGGGGCCTTGTTCCTTATTTAGGGTTCCTTAGGTCAACTCCCCGTCTGTACTCGTGGGTTTGCGGCCCAGGGGCCCTGCCCGCGAAACGCTTTCCGCCACGAGTATGTTCAGACGTATACATTACCGTCAGAGGGCCAGAGATGTGACACACGGCGCAGGAGAAGCTCGCTGGGCGGGTGTTGAGCCAGTGTGTTTTCGAAACCTTCCCGTGAGGTGGGTCCTCGTTTTGCATGAAGCATTGCTTGGGCCCGGACCGCGAGGCTGTGGATGCGTATGTACGGTGGGGGCGTTGGTTGAGGAATGTGCCCAGGATGATCCACACCCCGGAGGATTCCTTACCTAATGAGGGCGGCATGCTTCGGGCGGGGCCAGGACGAGGATCAATCCGTTCCAGAGCGTTCCGGAACGCTCTGAGAAGGCCGCGGCGCCCGAGACATCTTCCAGAGCCGCTGGCTCTGAGAGATTCTCGATTTGTCCCCACCCGACCCGGTGTTATCCTCGTCCTGGCTTCGTCTTCCAGCGGGGGCGCGCATCAAGAAACCACCTGCTTTTCGTCAGGGTGCCCTGGGTTTCTTCGCTCCTCGGGCTTCGCGATGACGTTCCGCAGCCGTTGAAGGAGATCTGCTGCGTTCAGGGTGCTCCAGGTTTTCCCCTCAGGTGCACCTCGCGCACGGGTTCTCAGGGTTGGGTTTCTTGCGAGGGTTTCTTGTGGCCGCGCCCGCACTGTACTGCTTCCTGCCCGCGAGAGAGGACGACATCGACGCCGCCTTCGTGCGGCTGGCAGGCATGCTGGGCTGGCTGCCGGACCTCGAGGCCCTCTCGGGGCAGATGTCGGAGCGGGGCGCCGAGTGCGTGGCGGCCGCGGCGGCGGCGGAGAGGGCGCGCCTGGGCCGGCGGCGCGCCGCGCCCTGAGAGCGCCACCCCTCCTCCTCCTCCTGCTCCTCCTCCTCCTCCTCCTCCTCCTCCTCCTCCTCCGCCCTGAGGGCGCCTCCCCCGATCCCCGGGCTCCATCCGACGCGCTGGGCCGCTCAATCCAAGGGGGGGGTCCCTTTGGGACACGCCCCAAGCTTCGGTCGGGCGTGGCCTCCTAATTATGCAGGCGGATCTTGGAGGACCAGATATCACAGTGGCCATAACAGATTTTCAAACAAAGAGTCGAGCGCAGTCGAAGAATCGTCCCCGGACTATTTGTTTGACTATTTTTGAACATCCCCCCCTGTGAAGGGACATGCTCGACGGAGCCCCCCATGGGGGCTCTTCGGGCGCACACCCCCCTCGAGGAGGGCCGCCCCTCCTCGTGTCATTGGCTAGCCCAGGGCTGTGGGCCCAGAATTTATCTGGTCCGCTCGAAATCAGGAGAGGAAATAACACACAGACACAATGAATCGTCGATTCCCAGGAAAATATGGGAAAATATAGGAAGTGGGGGGGAAGACAAAAACCCAGAAAATGTGGGAAAGTATGGGGAATATCTTTATTTGTGTGTATTTATTTGTGTGTCCTGGGGCCCCTTCACGAAAATGCCACGGAGCCTGGGATCGGGGTCGACGTATCCCCTGCTAGCGTTAGGTCGGGCACGTCCCTCTGCAGGAGGAACATTCTAAAACCGTCGAGAAAAAAACGTCCGGGGGCGATTTGTTCGTTTGGGGGTATTTCCTAGCATTTTGAACTGTTCGTCCAAAATCCGCCTGTAGGAGGACACGCCCGCCCGAATGCTAGCGTCGCAATTTTGCGAGCCTGGCGTCTTCGCGCAATTCCGGGCCCCTGACCCTCACAGGTCGATGCGGCCTGACAAATGCCTCAAAAAGATGGGGTCCGGGGCTCCAGTTCGAAGAACGAAACCGACAGGTCCGCGCGGATTCCTTGGATCGACCCTGGCAGCGCCTCCGGCGCCGCCCCTGGCGCGCTCCGAGCGACAGGGAGGGCGGTCCAGCTCCGATCCAAAAAATCCGCGCGAATCTCCGAGAAATGATGTTTATTCCGTTTTTTGTTTTCTAGTGAGGCGAGCATTCTTGTGGCAGAAGGGCTCACAGAACGAACACTTCCGTGACACACACACACACACAATGAGCGCTTCTGTGACAGAGGGGCGGGCCAAAAAGCCAAGGACCAAGTGGTTTTTGGCTCTTGTCGGGCGGGGCTGCGACGAGGATGAACTGTTCCAGAGCGTTTCGGCACGCTCCCAGAGCGTTCGGGAACGCTCTGAGAAGGCCGCGACGCCCGAGACATCCTCCAGGGCCGCCAGATCTCAGAGATTCTCGATGTATCCCCCCCCGAATTTATCCTCGTCTTGGCTTCGTCTTAGTTTGGAGGAGCCCCAGGCCTCCCTGCGAAACGATCAGGATGGACGGGTTTGTGGCCACGTGCGGCCCCCAAGGGGCCCTCCCTGGGCCCGAAGGAGCGCGGCCCGGGGGGGTCCTGAAGAGAACTGGGTCCCTGGAACGCGGGTGCGGCCAAGAAGGGGGTGATGGCAAGGGGGGGGGATCTCATTCGGCGGCGAGCGAGGGGGGGAAGTGAGAAGGAGCAGTCCTTCTCAAAAGGCGGCGGGGCTTCTCGGAAGCCTTCGCGCCTTCTGAAAAGTTTCCTGTGTCTTCGGGGAAGGCTTGGAAAGATTCCCGGAAGGCCGGGGGCTTCCGAGCCTTCTGGGAATGGCCCGCCCTCTCTCTTCCCTCCCTCCTCTCGCCGCCGAAACACGGCGGGGACCTTGCTATATCTCCCCAGAGTACGTCCCCGGCCCCCCCTGGGCCGCGCACAGGTCGCATGCCGCCGGTCATGATCTGCGCCCCCCCCCCTCTGGGACGCCCCCGTCTTGGGCCCCCCCCGAGGGCCGCGGGGGTCTCCATCTCAAAAGTCCGCGCGGATTTCTTGGATCTGCGCTGTGCCCCCTTGTCTGCGCCTCTGGCTCCGCCCGCCCCCTGGCGCGCGTCGCGCGCCATGTAGACGATACGTGCGTTGCGAGGCACCGATGTTTGACCAGAGAGGTTTCACTGCCACTTCCCCCCGAGCCCCTCCCCTCCCCTCATCGTCCTCAACCTCCGCCTGCACGTTCTCGTCGCCGTCGTCTGCGTCTGCCTCCACGTCGTTCTCGTCCTCCTCCTCCCTCTCCCGCCGCTCCCCTCCTGCCCCTCCGCCTCCCGTTCTCGCCGTCCTCTGCCTCACCGTCCTCTTCTGCCTCCTCTTCCTCGTCATCTTCAGCGCAGCCTTCCTTCTGCTCCTCACCGTCCCCTCCTCACCCCTATCTCCTCGCCATTCGCCTCCTCTCGTCCTTGTTATCGGCCTCCCCCTCCGGCTTCCCCAGCCCTCCACACACTCGTGCCAGTTCCCCTCCGCCTCCTCGCCGTCGTCCTCTGCCTACGCCTGTGCCCCCAACCTCCTGCGGCTCCTCCTGCCGACCTGCACGTGCCGGTCCAGCAGGGCCAGGATGCCGCCCAGGGCATCGAAGTTGGGGCCGGGTCGGCGCCTTTCCTTGCCTTCCCCTCCAGCCGAGGGAGCTCCTCCTATCGGGCCGAACGAAAGGGGGGGACAGGGAAAGGGGGGGTTACACGAAATCTGCTGCGTGCAGCTGGTTTCGGCCCCGCCGCTGGTCCCCTTCCTCGGTACATGGGCGCCTCCCGGCGCCGGGAGGCGCCGGGAAAATCAGTTGCGTGAGCCGAGTCTCAAACCCCCTCCCTGTGCTATCCCCCCCCCTTCGCCCGGCCCGATCCTGCGGCTCATCCTCCGGCCGCCGCGCGTCGGAAGCCGACCTGGGGAATCATATCGCGGGGGGGCACCGCCGTCTTGGAGATCGAGAGCCAAGGGTGCAGCCGCGCGCCCCGCCTCCCCCGTTCCGTGTTCGCCTCGAGCACGCGAGGTGACGAACCAACAACACACGCCCATACCCATAGGGGATTCGGAGGGGGCTACGGGTGCGTGTTGTCGGATGGGGGTCCCCGCTCGAACGGGAGCGTTCCCCAGGGTCCGACAACCCGCACCCATACCCATAGCCAGTCCTCCTCCCAACGACCCCCCTATGGGCATGGGTGTGTGTGTGTGTGTTGTTCGTTCGTCACGATGGGCGAGGCGCCTCGCCGCACTGCGCGGCGCCGGCGCACAGGTCACCACACGCAGCGATCACGCCCGGGCGCGAAGACAATTACAGCGGGGCTGCGAGCGTCGCCGCCCGGGCCGGGGAGTTGCCCCCTCCGTGTGCGGCGGCGCGGAAGCGAGGAGGTGCCCGCGCTCCGCACGGCATGGAGCGCAACACTCCCGTGGTTGTTGCCTTCGGATGCTCCAGCCACCGCCTGCCCTGCCTGTTTTTCGATGGAGATTTCCCGCCCCCGAGGGGAGGTTAGAATTGAGTTCACTGGGCCACCGCGATCCAGGAGCCGCAGTGGTGCTGCCGATGATGACGAGGAGTGCGAGATGGTGATGGTGGTGATGATGCTTGTGTTGGTCACGGTTATGGCGATGAGGATGAAGGAGAGTGACTCTGATGACGCCCACGTGGACGGTGACGATTGAGACGATGACGAAGAGGAGGAGAGTGACCAGGACAAGGGAGTATGTCGAGAAGCGGCGTGAGAGGGGTGGAGAAGGACATGAAGGCCCGAACGGGTGCCCGGAAGGGTGCCCGAGATGTTGCGCGAGATGCTATTGCCCGAGCGGCAGGCCGTCCGCATGCGGGAGCGCCGCGACACGGGGCAGACACCTCGGGCAGCAGCTCGGGGAGCACTTCGGGCACCGATTCGGGCAGGATCCCAGCGCACCGAGCACGGCGCGAGTTCGCGGGTGCTCTGCTCTCGTGGTGTGCGGTCGCTTGCTGGGGCCGGTTGCTCAGCACCCGGTGGCTGCTTCTCCACGCCCTCTCTGCTGCCAGCAGCGGTCCAGGCAACTATGGCCCCGTGCTGCGGGCGTGTCCACCGGGCGATCCTCGTCGGCCTGCGGCGCGCGGGGAAGGCTCGGGTTCGGGCGAGCATCCGGCGCGGGAGTTTTGGGGCAGCACTCGGCGGGGACTCGGGGGAGGTTCGGGCGAGGCCGCCCTAACCCGAGGGAGAAAAGCTGTGGCAGATCGGCAGCCTGGACTTACTCTCAAGGCGGGCACGTCCCTCTGCAGGAGAAATCTTCAAGAATCCTCAAAGATAGTCAGGGACGATGTCTTGAATGTGTTTGAATATGTTTGACTATTTTCACTTCTCTTCCAAGATCCACTTGTACATCCTGAATGGGTTCTATACTATTAATGTTTCCAGGGAGAACCCCGGAAATCTCTCCCGCCAAGCCAGGCCGAAGACTGCCGTGCTAGGAGTCTACGTGGGGAAGGGGGGGCCACTCGGAGACGCCCTAGTCGTCAGCGCTCAAGATGAATAACTTTCGTAACGGGTAAGTAGGAGGACGCGCCCGGCCCAATCTCACTCCGCCCTCGCCTGGTCCAGCGGAGAGGCGAGGGGGAGCGGCGCCAGCACCACCAGCGGGGGGCCACCCTCGCCGAGGAGGCCCACGCTGCCTCTCTGAAGGGGGGGTCTTGGCATCGCTCGGCCGTGTGCATATTTTTTCTCGGCGAGGACCTTCGAGGAGCATCCTCGACCATTTGGTGCAAAAACCACGCACAAAACCGGCAAAAAGCACAGGAGATGGACGTCCGAGCGATGGCCAGGGGGTGTGTGGGACGCGTGGGGCAGGACGCCGAGGCCCTGCGATGCCACAGCGCTGCGAGATCAGCCCCCCTGTGCAGGGCGGGGCCCTGGTAGCTTCGACCGGTGCGATCCGGTGTCGAGCTCACCGGGCCCGATGCGGTCCGAGGGCCGATGGCCCGGCGATGCGGCGCGGCCCGATGCCTGCACAGCGCAGGTGCAGATCCATGGGGCAGCCGAGTCGCTTCGATTCGACTCGTCTTCTGCAGCGATCCGGTGCAGCCCGATCGGACGCGCGCTCCGCTTCGATCCGTGCTCCCGACCCGACGCCGGCGGATCCCTCCCCAGGCCCTCGATCGGGAGCGGTCAAGAGGAGGGTGACGACCAGGGGGGCGTGAATCTCCTGGCGGGGGGGGGCCATGCTACCTCCCCAGATTTCCCGCGGCGCCTCTTCTCATTTCAGTGCGCGCGCCCCCCCCCCCCGGGCAGCTTTCGTGCCTCGGGCCCTGATCTGCGAAGCCCCCCTCTTGGACGCCCCCCCTCCTGGACGCCCTCGAGGCCACGGGGATGCCGACGTCCTCCTCCCTCGCCCGCGGCGGCGGCGCCCCGGGGCGCCGCCGGGGATGCGCGCGCGGGAGCGGCGCGGCGCCGGGTGTACAGACAGGCCGCCGGCCGCCGGTGTACAGCGGGCGGGGCGCCGCGGCGCCAGCGGGGCCCCGCGATCCCCGACAGCGCCGGGCGAAACAGCGCTCGGCCCTCCCTGACTCCGGATCCGCCCTACTTTGGCTCTTTTTCCAACTTAAAACTGCGTCGGAAATCCACCTAGAAGAGGCCGAACAAGTAGGGCGGAAGTTGCTGCACCCAACATAAGATAGGGCGGAAACCCACAGAAACAGCAACAGAAAAGTAGGGCGGAAATTGGCATCAGCGGGGCTTGAAAAGTGAGGCGGAAATTCCAAGCCCCACTTATTTCCCCAAAGTAGGGCGGATCCGGAGTCAGGGTTCCCCGACAGCGCCAGGCGAAACAGCGCTCGGCCCTGCCGTTTCAGGCCTCCCAGATGTGAGTCGGGCCTGTCCCTCGACAGGAGGAAGATTCAATAATAGTCTGGGGACGGTTCCGCTTTATTTTTGGACTATGTCTGGTGTATGTTGTAAATATTGTTCGTCGAACATCCCCCTGTAGGAGGACACGCCCGACCTAATCCTAGATGGGGTCTAAGTAGATAGGGTCGGAGGATCGCGCCGCATCACCGATACATCGCCGGTGTGGCTCGATGTGGAGCCCGATTTGCCTCACGTCGCCGTCGCCGATGCATCGCCCACGTCGTCGATGCGTCGCCGATGCGGCGCGATCCCCCGACCCCATCTATTCCGATCCCATCTAGGAGGCCTCTAAAAATGGTCGGCCCTGCCTTGCCCTCTCCTTGGCATCGCTCGCTCGGACGTGGGCGCTGTTCTCGGCAGGGCCAGCCTTCTTAGAAAGTCTGGACCACTCAGGAGCATCCTGGATCATTTTTGATGAAAAGTGAAAATCGGGCCGGGCGAAAGGGGGGGATTGGGAAAGGGGGGGTTACGAAATCTGCTGCACGCAGCTGGTTTCGGCCCCGCCGCCGGGCCCATGCCTCGATCCATAGCCGCCTCCGGCGCCGGGAGGCGCCGGGAAAATCAGCTGCGTGAGCCGATTCTCAAAGCCCCCTTTTGCTAGCCCCCCCCTTCGCCCGACCCGAAAGTCCCGCCATCACAGGGCCAGCCCGGCAGTGCGGGCGGCAGCTGTTCGAGGGGGCGCAGGAGGTCGTGGCGCGTGACTCCTCCTCCTCCTCCTCCTCCTCCTCCTCCTCCTCCTCTTCTTCCTCCTCCTCCTCCTCTTCTTTCTCCTCCTCTTCTTTCTCCTCCTCCTCCTCCTGCTCCTCCTTCGGTCCCCTGGACTTTCGGAGAGCCGTAACACGTGACACACTCTTCCGCGTCGTGTCGGGGTTCTCTTCTCGTCTTCGGCGTGTTCCTCCCGGTGATCCGTCCTTCCTTGGGCTCCTGTGGGGCAGTCTTGGGGGCCCTTTGGGGCGTTTGGGGCTGTCTTGGGGCCCTCTTGGGCAGTCTTGAGGCTCTCTTGGGCCGTCTGGGGTGTGTCTTGCGGCCGACATGGGGCCGTCTTCAGGTTGTCGACGAGCTCTCTAACGTCGTCTTGGAACCCTCGGAAGCCCTCTTGGGCCTGCCTTGGGCTCTCTTGGGGCCGTGGGCAATTTGGGTGCCCTCTTGAGCCGTCTTGGGGCTTGCAGGCATCCAGGGCCATCTGGAGCTGAAGGAAGCCCGACAAGGTGAAGCCACATCTGTTCAAACACCTATTGGCGGCATACCTTGCATCTTGGAGGAATCTTGGGCCATAATGTTGGCATCGGTTGCCCGCTTCGCCCATCCGGGAAGCTCGGGAGCGCGTGCCCACGGTTGTTTCACGAGTGATCGTGGCCTCGGGAGCGCGGACGTATTGAGTTTTGCCGCGAATCGACGCCTCGGAGGGAGGACGCACTGTCTTTTGATAGCGATCGAGGCCTCGGGAGCGCGGGTCCGCTGTTCTTCTGCGAGAGGGGGGGGGGCCTTCTGGCCCGCAGAAGCCCTTGCCAGGCAGCACCTGGCCTTTCACCGCGCCTCGTAACGCCAGGTGCCGCCGAGTAGAGACAGTCAGGCCAGTTGGTACGATTTGAGAATTCGGCCCGGAGATTCAAATCGCACGGGCGTGCCAGATTGTGGGCCCAGCCAGGCCAGGGGCCGTCGGCGCAGCTGGCCTGGGGAGACCAGCCAGGCCAGGGGCCGTCGGCACAGCCAGCCTGGGGAAAAAGGGTTTGGCGGCAGGTCGCGGGCGATGGGCGCAGCGTGGGGCGCCCGCAGACGGTGGCGCAGGTCCCCTTTCGGGCGTGTCGGCGTCGCCTCGGGCGTCGGATCCGGGTACGGATCCGCTACGGATCCTTTACGGATCCGAAGCTTCGTGGACGGATTCTGTGCGATGGGTTTGGGACGGGTCCGAACGGTGGGGAAGTCGCGTGTTTCGCACGGTTCCTGTCTGACCGCTGCACCCTTCTATGATATGAAGTTGCGGGCGGCCATGCACACCGAGGGCGACTTATTACCGTGGGCACGGGGCGCGAGGCGCCTCTCTGGAATGTTACTGCGGCGCCCGCCCGCACACGCTTCTCCACGAGCTTGGCCGAGCCTGCCACCTCCGGCGGCGGCCGCGCGTCCACGGCACCGACCGCGCGCTGCAAAGGCGCCCGCCCGCACACGCTTCTCCACGAGCTTGGCCAAGCCTGCCACCTCCGGCGGCGGCCGCGCGTCCACGGCCCCGGCCGCGCGCTGCAAAGCAGACGTGCGCGCTCGGGGCACGCGCACGGCCGCTTTTCCGAGCTCTCGCGCGCCTGCCTGCGCAAATGCAGGAGGGGAAAAAACACACAGACACAACGAATCGTCGATTCCCAGAATTATTTGGGAACATATGGGAAGTGGGGGGGGAATACAAAAGCCAAGAACATATGGGAAACGATGAGGAATTGTTGTTATTTGTATGGCGCGGGGGCGCAGCCGCGACGCCGCGGACCCGCTGCAGACGTGCGCGTTCGGGGCACGAACACGGCCGCTCGAGCTCTCGCGCGCCTGCCTGCGCAGATGGCGCCTCGACCTCTTCCCTGCCGGCGCCTCTGCCGCAGCCCCCGCCCCGAGCCGCCGCCGTGGCGCGGGGGGGCGCGGCCGCGGCGCCGCGGACCCGCTGCCCGCCGTCCAGGGGCCCCGGCCGTCGCCCGGTGTCTTCGGGCGGAGGTCCGGGGGCGCGGCCGCCCGCTGCTGCGCAGGAGGCAGGGTCGCAGCGGCGTTCCGAGGACGGACCTCCAGGAGCTCTTTTTTTTTTTTATATATATATATATATATATATATATATTATGTATGTATATATATATATATATATATATATATTACATATATATATATTATAACATTCACTACCAGCTTGAAACATGTCCCTGCCCCTATGCTTGGTGTCACCGCCCCTCGAGGCCGATCTCAAGGGTTCCCTCGGTTCCTGAGGGCCTGTCCCGAAGATTGTTCTCGCTTTTTGCTCGCCCATCTTGGGGATAGGGATAGGTTCGAGGCAGGTTAATGCAGGCAAGCTTACTCGCGTGGCGTTGGCCCCCCCCCCCCACACCGCCCCCCTCGCCCCTCTTCAATCGAGTGCGAGCGTGCAAGGGCCTTTCGACCTGCGTGGCTTCCGCACGTGAAGTCGTTTGCGGCCTGCTTCAGGTTCAGCCCCCCCCTGGCCCATGCAAGTCATATTGCCAGAGTGTGGAAAAAAACAGGCTCCAGGAAAGCTGGCGCCCCCGATGGAAGCCCCGTGAGCCAAAAGGTCAATGGCCCCGGCCCACTTGTGCTGCGCAGCAGCCCCTGCTCCAACTGGCCTGCGGGGGCTCCTGAGCGCACCTGGGCGCGCTCGGGCTCGAGCGCCGCCTGGAGGTTGAGTCGCGCGTCCAGTCCAGGCAAATCGTACCAACTTTACCTGACTGTCTGTAGGGGCGTACGTTGTCCAGCCGTCCTGGGGCAGGCGTCCCTCGGCGGCGAGGGGGGGGGAAGTGAGAAGGAAAAGGCTCTCTCTGAAGCCCTCGGGACTTCTCGGAAGCCCTCGCGCCTTCTGGGAGGTTTTCTTGTGTCCTCTTCGGAAAGAGGCTCAGAAAACTTGTCAGAAGGCCAGGGGACTTCCGAGCCTTCTGAAAAGGCCCGCCCCTTCTCACTTCCCCCCCTTCGCTCGCCGCCGAGTAGAGGCGTAACTTGTCCAGCCGTCTTGTGACAAGCGTCTCCGATGGCGGACGCAAGCCGCGAATGTTCTGCCGTACGTCGCGCCCCCCAGAGGGGCGGCAGAGGGAGCGGCCCTGGACCTCCAGCGCTGCGGGACAGCGGCCGGGACGGCCCGCTCGTCAACACTTCTTGCTTCGGACGGCCCGCTGCGGGCCCCGAGGCCATCAGAAAACGAGCTGGGGATTCGAAGCGTGTCAAGGGGACGGGTGTGGGGCCTCTGGGAAGGAGAGTGCAGAGAGAAGGCGCCGTGCACGTCGGAGGTGCATGTGCAATGGAAGAGGCGCTGGCGCGGCCGATGTCTCAGCCAGACGACGCTTTGAAGCATTATGAGTGCCAGCCTTGGTTATGTGTGGACAACGGAGAAAAGGAAAGAGGGAGGGAGCAGAGGGAGGCGAGACGAAACAACGAGGCCATGAGAGCCAACGGGATCAATTGTCATTGTTTCTGCTGCGACGTTTACCCTCGGAGGAGCAGGGCACAGAGAGGACAGGAGGAGGGCGCGTAGTGATGAAGGGCGAGGTGGCGAAGGGTGGGAAGGAGGAGGAGGAGGAGGAGGAGGAGGAGGAGGAGGAGGAGGAGGAGGAGGAGCAGTAACACGAGGATTTGCTTAGGAGGAGGAGGAGGAGAAGGAGGAGGAGTTGCTTAGGAGGAGGGAGGAGGAGGAGGAGGAGCAGGAGCCCCCCCGAGCTCCCAGGCAACGGAGTCTAGAGGGCCTGGCGGCACCTGAGAGTGGCCGCTGTCTCAGACGGCCGGGCACTCCTGCGGGAGACGCCCTCCTTTTCAGGGACGGCGAGGCAGTTTGCGGAGTCCCGATCGCTGTGCTCGGGCGGCGGGAGGGGCCCGCGCGCGCACGCTGGAGCAGGAGCAGGAGAGAGGGGGACGGCACGGCCGCGCCCTCGGCCGGCAGCCTGCTCGCGAGGAG